GAGACTTGCAGTATGTTTGTCTTGAAATGCTAAGCGAGATATAGTGCGGTTGACTGAAAATTAACATGCCATAGGTCGTCATGAATCCCTATACTGAGCTCCTGTGATGTTATGCTAGCCCTTCTGACATTGACAGCTCTGTGATCAAAACAGAATTGATTTCTATGAACATGTTTATTAGATTTCTTTTTTCTCTTTTCAGTATTATTAGACAAATATGTGAAGCACATGCCCAATGTTTTCTCTCAAAAAATGTGTTTGCTTTTTAACCCATACCTCTCCCAGCCTTGACTGTATACGGTCTAGCAGATGTCTTGGCATTGCAGAGTAATGCAAATTAAAGTTACCTTCTGGTTTGTACCTGTGCCAAATTTCTCAGCTAGGCCTTCACTATGTCAATTGTTACACATTATAGAGAAGCCTTTATGGGCCAAATTACATGGCTGCATTTTAGGGCCAGGGAGTGTAGAAAGGGCGTCTAGGCTCTAAGCATATTGAGTACACTATTGGGCCTCTTTAAGTAGTGCAATAGTTGCCTGCATTAACAGCAAGCATCCTGTATTAAAGATGCTTGATACAACTCTGTTTACTAGACTTGTGGATTGCCAAACTTTTAGTTCTTGCGAATTGACATGGTTCTGATTTTTAAACTTTTCCGGTTCTCAACTCAATTTCAAATTTTGGATCAACTTGAAAAATGGCTAATCAATCTGAATATTTCTGGGTAAATCTTAAACTGAAGGAAAAAAAGGCACCTGTAGTGTCCCTTAAACAAAACAAAAAAACACAACTCTCAATCTGTAAATGAGTGATTTAAGGTTGATGTTAAGTAGCAGTGACATTTAAACAGCAAGCATATTTTATAGCTGTAATACACATAGCCCACACCAGTGGGCAGGTCACAATCATGAATTGTGTTACTGGTGCCATCCAAATTGGCATACTGGCCAGGAATGGGTTTCTGGGTCTTCCAAACTGATACAGTTTGACTTTTAAACATTTTTTTTTTGTTTGTGAATAATTTTGGTTGAAGTTCAGAGTGAAATTCTGAGATTCAAAAATATTAAATTGGTTAAAATTCTCATGAATTTTGATTCCGACTGTTCAGTTTCTTGAAGTCTACTGTATATAAGTAGGTTTTATAAATGCATGCAGACATTATTTGCATTCTGGTGACATTTTGAAGAATTTATAAACCCATAAATGCCGTTAAATTTCTTATACATTACTATAATCGATTTATTTCGCTGTATACCAGCCAAACCAAAACGTGTATTTTTAATTGATAGTAATAGTGTACACCTTGTCTGAAATATTGCAAGATATATAATCTATACCCACTGCTCGTTATTAGGTGTTAAGAATGAACACATATACTTTAGAAATGAAAACTGTCTAAATGTATCCAATTACTTTTTATAGGTATTTTCAAACAACAATTTTAAAAAATTTAAATAAAATTGCTGTTTTATCCTACTTTTGTGTACAGTTTGCATCTCGCTCGTCAAATACGTTATGCTGTTTGTTTTCATGTTAATGAACAGAGCTTATTAGTTCAGGGGTTGATTTAAAGCGGCACTGTTATGCCAAACTTACCTTTCCTCAATCTCTTCCTCTTCTCCCCCTCTGTCAGGATCTATTCTTCTTTTCTTCCTGTCTTCTTTAGTTTTCTTTAAAATCATAAGACAAAGTAGGGACTCTTTGCCTTATGGAGGTTTCCTCCGCTTGACCAGCTTTGACCAGCGGAGGAGTTAAGTGTTCATTTCCGCTGGTCAGAGCCATTTTCCCATAATTCTTACCTTTCCTCTGTGATCTCGCGATGCTTCCTGTCATTTTAGACGAAACTGCCGAATTGCGTTCTAACTGAACGAGAACAGTATGTTTGTTTGTTTTAGAACGCAATTCGGCTCTTTGTTCGTATCGGAATTTCATTTGAATGAATGAAACTCCGATTCAATTAGTGCCACAGCTGCATCTTGCAGCTGCTTAGTTGATAACTCCCTAATTCCCACGGTATTAGGGAGTTATCTTCCAAAAGGCTGAAAGACCTAAATTGGTCTTTCAGCCACATTTACTAATACTAAGTAAACATTACTTAGTATTAGTAAATGATCTGCCCCTACTCGCTATACCGTGAGTAGGGGCATGTTTAGTAAGCAGTGAGCATCCTGTGGATGCTCACTGTAAAAAACAAAACAAAAACAAACCTATTGGCCCCCACCCCTGAGCGGGGGCTACCTACTGTCCTTTCCCCACCCCCCACCCCTGCGCGGTGAGTGGGGGCCATAAATTACAATGGGGGGACCTACTGTCCTCCCCCTAACCCCCACCCTTGAGCAGTGGGTGGGGGCCATAAAGATAATGAGGGGGAAGGACCTACTGTCCTCCCCCCGGCCCCCACCCCTGTGCGGTGGGTGAGGGCCATAAATTACAATTGGGGGATCTACTGTCCTCCCCCCCGGCCCCCACCCTTGAGCAGTGGGTGGGGGCCATAAATTACTATGGGGGGGACCTACTGTACTCCCCCCTGGCCCACACCCCTTGGCGGCGGGTGGGGGCCCTAAGACAAATCCCTCCCACCCCCCATCAAAGGTGACTAGGGGTCCCCAAGCCCCTAGTCACCCACCCCCCCACCCAATAAAAAAGTAACAACCTACCTATCCCCCTCACCCTAAAAAAAATTGAGGGGGGAATAAAATAACTAACCTGTAAAGAAAAATTAAACTTACCATTTGACGTCTTCTTTTTTCTAAAATTTTTATTCCCCCCCTCACTATTTTTTAGGGTGAAGGGGGTCGGTAGGGGGTTACTTTTTTTTGGTTGGGGGAGGTGGGTGACTAGGGGCTTGGGGACCCCTAGTCACCTTTGATGGGGGGGGATTTGTCTTAGGGCCCCCCCATTGTAATTTATGGCCCCACCCACCGCACAGGGGTGGAGGCCGGAGGGGGGAGGACAGTAGGTCCCCCCATTGTATTTTATGGCCCCACCCACCGTGCAGGTGTGGGGGCTGGTGGGGGGAGGACAGTAGGGCCCCCATTGTAATTTATGGCCCCACCCACCGCACAGGGATGGGGGCTGGTGGGGGGAGGACAGTGGGTCCCCCCCTCGTTATCTTTATGGCCCCCATTCACCGCTCAAGGGTGGGGACCGGGGGGAGGACAGTAGGTCCCCCCTTATTGTAATTTATTGTCCCCGCCCACCGCGCAGGGGTGGGGGCCCGGGGGGAGTACAGTAGGTCCCACCTGTGACGAGACCAATCTCGCCACTGTGCATTGGAGGAGCCTGGTTGCCTGCCTGCTGCCTTTTGACTATGGACCGGCATTTAAATACTTTATTTTCCTATGCAGAAAGGTCTATTCCTGTATTTCTGCCCTGGCGTTCGGTAGATTCTCGGATTTACTAAATGAACTCATTTAACCCAGATAGCTATGCCATGGAGCCTATTCGTGTAATAAAAGACTTTGGCTCCATGGCGATTGAACTGTATGTGTGTGGTCTGAGCGCCATTCAGTAATAATGTGCGCTCAGACCTAAGCTATCTTATGTTGCATGTCTGTATTTTATGTAATAAATGTAACCTTGTGTATTTGATTGTATTTTACTGTCTTTTTAGTGCCATGTGCTTAATGGAGTTTTGCCTCTGTCCTTGGAGATAATTGGATTACTTCCCAATTATCTCCAGGATAGAAGACTCTGTGGAACTGGTTTTGGGCAGAAAAGCCATGCTTCATTTGGTCACAAAGGACTTTGATCTATCTTTTGAACCAATGGACCAATTTGGATGATTTTGACATATGTTTGTATTTGGAGTATGCTGATTCTGAAAATGTTTAAAGTTTTATGTGAATGTGATGTATACTTTTCAAGTTATGAATAATGTGGAAAAACTGTATTTCTCTGGCTGTTATAATTACATTACCCATTTTGTAAGGTAATTGTATCACAGGCATAGGGGAGTTTGTGTGGGAGTGTCTGAGTGTATTGTACGTGTTTATTGGTTGTTTTCCAAAACCCTGTGGGTGGTACTAATGTATATATAAGAACAATAAACCCACAGCTCTGACTGTTGCTGCTTGACCCTCAAAACGGAGCCTTGTCTCGTTCTTGGGGGGATTTATTGTATGCTGTTCCAGTTTGACTGCTGGAGTGTAAACCTATTCATATGGTTTTTCCTATTCGTCTGTTTACAGCATTCGTATGCTTCTCCGGTTCGGTGGATTGGTGTCTACAGTAGCTGTGCCTGTGTCTCTGGAAGGGAAGATCTACTAAACGGTGGTTTAACCCCTTTTATGCTCGGGGTGCCGTTACACCTCCCATTGTAATTTATGGCCCCCACCCACCGTGCAGGGGTGGGGGCCGGTGGTGGGAGGACAGTAGGTCCCCCCTTCATTATCTGTATGGCCCCACCCACCTCTCAGGGGTGGGGGCCAGGGGAGGGAGGACTGTAGGTCCCCCCCTCATTATCTTTATGGCCCCCTCCCACCGCTCAAGGGTGGGGGCCGCGGGGGGAGGACAGTAGGTCCCCCCATTGTAATTTATGGCCCCCACCCACCGTGAAGGGTTGGGGGCTGGTGGGGGGGAAAGTAGGTCCCCCTCATTATTTTTATGGCCCCCACCCACCGTGAAGGGGTGGGGGCCAGGGGAGGACTGTAGTCCCCCCCCATTTTCTTTAGGGCCCCCACCCACCGCTCAGGGGTGGGGGCCAGGGGAGGACTGTAGTCCCCCCCCATTATCTTTATGGCCCCCACCCACCGTGCAGGGGTGGGGGCTGGAGGGAGGATAGTAGGTCCTCCCCCCATTATCTTTATGGCCCCCACCCACCAGGCAGGGGTGTGGGCCGGGGGGAGGACAATAGGTTAAGATAGAAGCAGCAGGGAGCAGTGCTAAAATCTCCCGAATGCCCCTACTCGCTATACAGCGAGTAGGGGCATGTCCACTAAACAGTGAGCAGCCTGTGGCTACTCACTGTAAAAAACCCCAAAAAACTACTATCCGGCCCTCGCCCCTGGACGGTGGGTGGGGACCCTAAATAACAATATTGTTATTTAGGGTCCCCACCCACCGTGCAGGGGCGAGGGCCGGATAGTAGTTTTTTGGGGTTTTTTACAGTGAGTAGCCACAAGCTGCTCACTGTTTAGTGGACATGCCCCTACTCGCTGTATAGCGAGTAGGGGCATTCGGGAGATTTTAGCACTGCTCCCTGCTGCTTCTATCTTTACAAGAAGAGGGCTGCGCACTGGTAGCTCCCTCCTTGTAATAAACTGCACAAACAAACGAACACTGATATTGTTCGTCTGTCATTTCTAGTCATTTATTCATCTTTCTGACGAATGAATGAATAGATGAAATTCCAGTTTGCATGCCCAAGTGTATCACTGGGCATGTGTGGGAATCGCACAGTGCTGTCTAGTGTGGGCAGATGACGTGTCCCACAGGGACTTCCTCTACCCACACAAAGATGGCAGCGCCCTGAATATAGATCGGGGCAGAAAATAAAGAATACAAAATATGTTATGTGGGGGGCTTAGGGGCATTTGGGGGTGACTAGGGGGTCAGTTAGATGTAGTGGAGTTGGGGGGGATTCGGCCATGACAGTGCCGCTTTATATGATATTGCGATTACAGTTTTCAGTCCTCCTTGTTACAAATAGACAAAGTAAAATAGTACCATGAATTGATTCATGCAAAGGTCATGTTTATTTAAGCATAAGATTAGAAGCATTTGGCATTGCTTTCATACATATATTAAAGAAATACATTGGCCAAGTCCTTTCTCTTTAGCATAGTTAACCATAAAAATTCCATAAAAATCTTTGCAATTCAGAAAAAAATGGATATTTTAATCCATCTCTGTGATACATTTTGAAAGAATAACAATCTGTTTTGTTTAGTGCAGATGGCTCCTGTATTTGTATGGTAATTTATTATCTAGACTTCCTGTATATTCCAGTAACAAGGCCTAACCCTGATAGACGTTATAACAATAACAAATCCCTAGCATTGCCTAAATGAAGGCTTCAGAACCTGAGAGAGTTAAACCATAGTGCAAAAACACTAAAAGGAGATCTAAATAGTGCATTGTGGAAAAATGACATGCAAATTTGACTGTATTGTAAGAATTGTTTCTTCAATTTATTTCTTACCAAGTGCCTTGCAAATGTTTAGGGTAGACCTGTATTCTTCCCAACATTTTAAACTGCATTCAGACCTCCCAATCATCCCAATTTTGGCAGGACAGTCCCGATTTTAGTCTTCCCTCAATGGGATGGTCCCTTGTAGTTGGCAGGAAGTCTGGCATGCATTGATACCAGGCTAACCTGCCTGTAATTTGAGCAGAATGCTAATGCTGAGGACTACGTATATTACTGCTATAGAATATTATTTATTGTGAGGAAGCAGAACAGTGAGGGGGCAGAATAAGTTAGTGGCAGCTATTATTCTCTAAACCTATTTAATATACAGAAACAAGAGAGCCCATAGGGGTTCATTCACTAAAAACCAAATTGTTGTAAACTGAAAACTATATTGTAGCATTTAGGTCAAAATAGCTAAGATGGAAAATAGAGAATTTTTCCAGTGTAGCTATTTTGGCCTAAAATGTGCAACCCAAATTCTACTCTATTGTGATTTGGAATAAAAACCTCAATGGTTTAAATAACTTAAAGGAACACTATAGGGTCAGGAACACAAACGTATTGAAACCACCATCTAGCTCCCCTGCCGCCCCCTCACCCTGCCAACCTAAATATTGCACAATCTTACTTGTCTTCAAGTCTGCTGCCGCTGGCTCTGCTCCGGATCTGCCTGCTTGGCTGACATCATCAGAAGTGATTATCTGAGCCAATCACAATGCTTTCCCATAGGATTGCCTGAGACTGTCAAGGAGGCAGATCAAGGGCAGAGTCAGCACAAGTCAAACACAGCCCTGGCCAATCAGCATGTCCTCATAGAGATTCATTAACTATGAGGAAAGTCCAGTGTTTACTTGCAGAGGATGGAGGCACTGAATGGCAGTCACACTGTGTAACGGATCACCTGGCACCCCGACTGGGTACCTCCATTGAAGGATGCTCCTAGCGCTTCCTGAGGACTCCAAGCACTACAACCACAACCACCGAACCTATATTTCTATCTATATTTAAAAGAAGAAAAACTACCACAACAAGAGGACATAGTCTTAAATTAGAGGGACATAGGTTTAAAAATAATATCAGGAAGTATTACTTTACTGAGAGGGTAGTGGATGCATGGAATAGCCTTCCAGCTGAAGTGGTAGAGGTTAACACAGTAAAGGAGTTTAAGCATGCGTGGGATAGGCATAAGGCTATCCTAACTATAAGATAAGGCTGGGGACTAATGAAAGTATTTAGAAAATTGGGCAGACTTGATGGGCTGAATGGTTCTTATCTGCCGTCACATTCTATGTTTCTATGTTTCAATGTTTCTATGAACCGGAGAAGCATATGAATGCTCTCAAGCATCTGAATGCTGTAAGCAGCTGAACAGGAAAAGCATACAATCAGCTTACACTCCTGGCAATCAGCATACAATCCAATTCCCCCAATAACGAGCCGACACTTCGTTTTGAGGTCAAGCAGAACTGACTGTACTGGCACATACAGTCTCTTTTATTCAAAATCCACAAACATAGTACTGCCCACAGGGTTTTTGAAAACAGCCAATAAACACGTACAATACACTCAGACACTCCCACACAAAAACCTCCCCTCTGCCTGTGATACAATTACCTTACACAATGGGTAATGTAATTATCACCGGCAGAGAAATACAGTTTTTTCCACATTATTCATAACTTTAAAAGTATGCATCACATTCACATAAAATGTGTCAGCATACTCCAAATACAAACATATGTCAAAACCATCCAGATTGGTCCATCGGTTCAAAAGATAGATTGAAGTCCTTTGTGACCAAATGAAGCATGGCTTTTCTGCCCAAAACCAGTTCCACAGAGTCTTCTATCCTGGAGATAATTGGGAAGTAATCCAATTATCTCCAAGGATAGAGGCAAAACTCCATTAAGCACATGACAGTAAAAAGACAGTAAAATATAATAAAATACACAAGGTTACATTTATTACATAAAATACAGACATGCAACATATCCCCAGATAGCTTAGGTCTGAGCGCACATTATTACTGAATGGCGCTCAGACCACACACATACAGTTCAATCGCCATGGAGCCAAAGTCTTTTATTACACCAATAGGCTCCATGGCATAGCTATCTGGGTTAAATTAGTTAATTCAGTAAATCCGAGATTCTACCGAACGCCAGGGCAGAAATACAGGAATAGACCTTTCTGCATAGAAAAATAAAGTATTTAAATGCCGGTCCATAGTCAAAAGGCAGCAGGCAGGCAACCAGGCTCCTCCAGTGCACAGTGGCGAGGTTTTTCCGCCACACACTGTGCAGCAGTGCCCCAGGAAGCACCTCTAGCAGCCATCTGAGGAGTGGCCAGTGGAGGTATCCCTAGGCTGCAATGTAAACACTGTGTTTTCTCTGGAAAAGAAAAAACAGTGCCTGAAGGGAATGATTCTACTCACCAGAACAAATATAATAAAGCTGTAGTTGTTCTGGTGACTATAGTGTTCTTTTAAAATGAATTATTTTGTAGTTGGTATTTGCTTTTAACATGCAGTAAGAATTGTGTCTGGGTCATAAACTATTACTTCCATGGTTTATAAACTACACTGTTCAAAACAACTGTTTTACATTCCCTACAGGGTGATTCACTAAACTGAGAATTTGAAGTGAATTGCAAATATATGGCCAATGTAGCAGAACTGTTAGCATAGTTAACTTACAGAATGTTTCAATGTTTGCTACTTTTACCTTAAATTTGAAATTCTGTTTGAATGACTTGGAGTTCTCATCTTAGTGAATAACCCTATTAGAGTAATGCCCAATGTTTGTATTTTTAAAATAGATAATAGTGTATCAGGCCAGTGTGTAATGACAAAATGTGTATGAATAATTCCTGGCAGCAATTTCTACTGTTATTCCTTCGTTCCGCTTTCCTTGGGTCTACTTTTATGGTGATGTCCTTTATTGGGAACGACATTATAAAGGTACAGGTTATGATGTGGTTTGCGGATCAACAATCATATAGGGAAAAGAGAGCATAGATAGATTATATTTACAGAGTATACCGTTTAGGTTAGATAGAACAGAAAGACGAATTCAGTGCTTCTAATATTTCCCTTTTTCTCATTTATCATTTGTCTCACCCTATCCCTTCTCTCTGTCTCTCTCTCTGTCTCTCTATCTCTCTGTCTCTCTCTCTTTCTTTCTTTCTTTTTCTCTCTCCCTCTCTCTCTCTCTCCTCCCTTACCACACTCAACCAGTGTATTATTATGATTGCAGGGAGATTCTGGAGGTCCATTAATGTGTCTAGACAATCAAAGATGGTTTCTAGTTGGTGTGACCTCATTTGGAGTTGGATGTGCACAACCAAACCGACCTGGAGTTTATGTTCGAGTCACACAATTTAAGGATTGGATACAAAATATTTTCATTTAATGGAAAACCAACACTTGTTGGCACGAATGGTCATTTCATTATTAATAATAATAACAAAAAAAGCAAAGAAATTTGATTTAATTAAGACTTCACATATAAAGCACTTTCCAAAATGTTTTTTTTAATTTGCTGTAGAATAATTGGACAAAGTGTTTGCTACAGTTTACTGATCACAAATTGTAATATTCTTAATTAAATAAAACTTAAAAAAATATACACTTCTGCACCTTATTTGGATTTGCATTGTTAAGCCTTAGAACATTGCGTACAAGTGTGAAAATTCACTATTACTGTTCCATTGCACTAAAAAGACAGCTTTAATATTTAATTAATAAATGTTATAAATACAATCTTGTGTGTGTTTTTTTTTTTTATTAATCAATGATTGTGTTAATCTAATTTGTCAAGATGCATAATTTCAAATCAAAGAATGGCTACCATAGCTAGAATATAATTTTAAAAAGTCTCCTTGTGTCTATTATTTATCAGTAAAATCTGCCTAGTTCTTTCTCCGTCAACTTTTATTTCAGA